ATTTCTTTATTTCATATATTTCTATTCCACCTGTCTTCCTTCAAGAAGAAGGCAGCTTCCTTCCTTCCTTTTACCCTTCTCCAAAGTTGAGTTCCCAGCCTCAGAAAATCGGTTGGTATGGTTCTTTCTGCGGGAAGGGGTCTGAGCTCCAATTCCTAGCTCCAAAATCAGAATGCTGTACCAACCCATGCACCGGTAATGTCTAAGCTGGATTATTGCCACATACTTGTGTAGGGCCTCCTTTCAGATAGATCCAGAGATGCCAGCTAGTACAAATTTGACACTTGGATTGCCAATCAGGGAAGCTTCCCATGAGCCCTGGTTTTGCTCAGATAACAGCACTGCCTGCCAATATTTTAGTGTGACAGATTCTCCATGATGTTGATATAGAAGGGCAGAAGTTTAACAACTCGGAACCAGGTTTCCCGTGGGAACTCTTTCTTCTATATCAACTGCCCATTCACTGAGATCTGCAGACCAGGACTTCCTGCTAGTTTTTTCCACTTGCACTGGAACATCTGATGGCAACCAGGGAGAGGGCCTTTCCAGTGTGGCACCCCATCCATGGATCGCTCCTCATCCTCCTGCTGTGTAACAATATGGTAACCATGACAGTGTTTTGGTACAACACTTATTAAAAACCTACTCATTTTAGCAGGCATTTGGTGATCTTCAATATATAATTTATTGATTATTCTGTGTTTATTTATAGTGGTGTGTTTTTAATTGCTGTTTTAATGACTTGTGTACACTACCGTGTAATTTCATAATAAAAAGCAAAATATTAATATTTAAAATATATAAGGAATACTAAAATAAATTAGAAGCCTTTTAGGCTAATCCAATACACTGTAATGCTCAGTACAGAACTTTTGGGGTTTTTTTCAGATTAATTACTCCTTTGTTTAGTGTATTTCTAGTTAGCTCAGTACATACTGTTTGCACGTTGCATTGGATCAGTGCCTAGCCTTTTCATTGATGAAAAGAATACATTCCACAGTTTTAAATGCATTTAACCTTCCTGGCTCTATTATTTTGACAAAGGTGGTCAAACATTGCTCCTGCAGTGAATATCCTGTTACTTTCTGTCAGTCACCTGGCCGAGTGAACACCCCACCATCTCCCATGTCAAATGATGAATATTTACTGCAGCACTTTTGGTGGGAAGAAAAATTATCTAGCATCACACCCAAGAATTATTGTCCAATATCTTACAGCACTGTGCTGGGAATGCAATGAAATCTAGGGTGCTGCACAGGCACTGACTCTAAAAATAAACAGGGGAGATACCAAGTTGCAAAACACCTAAAAAATATGTTATGAGATATTTAATGGTAGGCAGGTTGCTTGGATTTATGAGCAAAATATCATCTGAAGATTCATTGTAGGTTGGTTACAGTATAATTAAGAATAAGACTTACAGTCTTCTGGAATCCAGGATGCTTGTACGTTTCTTGATATTAATTTAGGAGTGTTAGTTAAACATTCCTAACACTTTTGGGTGTTTAAAGTGCTTCACAAGTATTCTGTGGTTGTAATCCCTGGAATCCTTCCTTGGAGTCAGGCATTGTGGAGATATGACTTGAGACTGGGCCCAGGGCAGGCTCTTCAGAGAGCATGGCTGCCTTGCAAGTGGCAGTGTGAAAATGGCAGTAAAGAAGGGCTAGAATGGGTGGGCGGGGAAGGAAGGATACAGACCCTGGGTGCGGGAGGACAGTAGTGGTGGCAATGGTGGCCAGTGGCAGTCTATGTGCTTTCCTGGCTCAGGTGGTAGGAGTAGGCTAGGACATGTGGAGAATCAGTGCCTGGCCCAAAGTCCCTTGGTCAACTTCATGGACAAGTGGGGACTAGAACTCAGATCTCCCAGGTCTCAAGAGTCTGGCCCTCTAACCTCTATGCCATATTTGCACCAACAGTGGGATTCCTCAGTTTTTAACTCATTCAAGACAGGTTTGTGCCATGCTAACAAAAGAGCATAAAAATACTTCAGTATTTGTTGTTGTAGTTGTTTACAACTTTTTGAAAATCTTTTCCACTTTTATGTTGTCCATCAGCGAGCAAAGACGCTTTTATTTAAGTAGGTCTTTAGCATTCAAACTGGTTTGTTAAAAATTGATTGGTACATTTTCCCTTAATGCTGTGCTTTTTATTTTTTATTCTCTGTTGTAATTAATTTTTTGCTTTCCATATGGATATTGCTGTCAGCTGCCATGGTTACGACTGTTTTGCAGGAAAAACAGAACGGAAATAGGATAGAAATATATTTTGTTCTGTCTTGATCAACTTTTCAATGGCATATTGTGAAGAAGTACAAGTCTACTCTAAGGTCAGTCTTCCAGCCAGTACTGTGAAGGCACTTCAGTTTCTGCAGGATACAAGACTGCTGTATGCTCCTCAAACCCCTGAGCAGTGAGAATGTCTAAGAGCAACACTTTCTGTGTTTGGCTCAGCTTAGAGGCTAAAACATTGCAGACTTAAAAGCTTAAAACATTGCTCTAGAGCAAACAGCAGAAATGGGTAAACTGTCAGCACGTATTTAGCATTTTCCAAAGGGATTTTTAAAATGATGTTTGAGTGTACAGACCTTTGATGGTTATGATTAAACTTCCAATGGCTTGTAATTTAGGGCACACTTTGTTCTGGTTTGAACCTAATTACTTTTGGTAGTTCCAAAAGTTGCAATTGGAATGTGTAAAAAAGTGAGCTGGAATGTTCATTTCATAGTAGCATCATAGTAGAGTTGGAAGGGGCCAGAGGTGAAACCATCCCTCTAAGATGGCTGTGAGTTGCATCCTGAATGCCTCCAGTGTGGGAGAGTCCAACAACCTCCCTGGGTCATTGGTTTCATTGTTGTATTGCTCTAATAGTCAGGAAAATCTTCCTGATATCCAGCTAGAATCTAGCTTCTAGCCCATTATTTCATGTCCTGTACTCTGGGATGATTGAGAAGAGATCCTGTCCTTCCTCTTTGTGACAGCTTTTCAAGTATTTGTAGAGTGCTATCATAGCTCCCCTCAGACTAAACATACCCAGTTCTTTCCATCTCTCTTCATAGAACTTTATTTCCAGTTCCTGGCTCATCCTTGTTGTTCCCCTCTGAACCCTTTCCAGCTTGTCTACATCTAACTGGACACAGTACTCCAAATGAGGCTTAACCAGTGCTGAGTAAAGGAGAACTAGTGTAACACATTTGGAAGTAATACTTCTATTAATGCAGACAAAAAGAGCATTTGCCCTTCTTGCAGCCACATCACCCTGTTGAATCATACAGCCTGTGATCTACAATTCCAAGATCCTTCTATTTTCAGCACAGTTGCACCAAGTAGTCCCCATCTTGTAACAATGCATTTGGTTTTTTCTAGGTGCAGAACTTCGCATTTGTCCTTATTGAATTTCACTTTGTTCTTTTCAGTCCAGTGCTCCACCCTATCAAGATCACCTTAAATCTCCTGACTTCTAGAATATAAACTATCCCACTCAGTTTTGTGTCATCTTAAAATTTAATAATTATTCCCTGTACTTTCTCATCTAATAAAAATGTGGAAGAGCACTGAGCCCAGGACTGAACGCTGAGGTACCCCACTACCTCTCCCTAGTTTGAGAAGGTGCCTCTGATGAGCACTCTTTGATTCTCTAACCAACTGTGGATCCATCTGATCGTTGCTCCACCTAACTCAATTTTAGCTACTTTGCTAATCAGGATATCACAGGGGACTTTGTCAAAAGTTTTGCTGAAGTCATAGCTTATGTCTGCAACATTCCCACAATCCCTCAGGGAGGATACCCAATCAAAAAATGAAAATTCTTAAATTTCTGTGTTCCATCTTGTTCTTACACCTCTTTTTGTGAGGCATGAAATCATCCTGATTTTTCTACATCCTCCATGAAGTTGTTAAATATTTTTATTGCAGGTTTTACAATGTTTTTGTTGCAAACAAAATCCAGTAATTCTCTCCCCATCTTTACCCCTTCTGCCACACCCAAACTAATTCTTTGAGCTGAATTATATTCCAGGGCAGGTAGATTTCTAAAGTAATTTCTCCAAACCACGGAGAAATATCAACCCTGCACCCGACCTACATCTTCCCATATACGAATTCAAAGCTATGAAAAAGAGAAAATGACACACACCCTTATTTAAAAAAGGGCTGTTCATCTAAAGAGCTAAGCAGTAGCTCATGTACTTCTAATTTTCCAGAAATCTTCAGTAGGTCCCCTATCAGATAATTTTCATTTTCAATTACACTACAATCCTCTTCACACTATCAGATAATTTTCATTTTCAATTACACTACAATCCTCTTCACATTCGGGAATTATCCTCATTGCACTCCATGGGAGTTATTTCTGAGTAGACATGCTCAATTTTGTAGTGCCATTATAGCTTAAGGAAATCGTCACAAGATTTCCTACGATTGCCGTTCTTGGGCGAGACTTCGACTGGCGTCATAGCTTATCCCGCAGTTTCCAGCCGATTACAACGCACTACCAAAAAGGTTAATGGTGCAATCCTATCCATATCCTGGTTGGGTTCTATGGCTTTAATTATTTTACTGACTGCAAGCTGCCTCAGATTGAGATTGGATGAGGAAAGCTATTAATAAATATAAACCATTAACTTTACATTTTGAATTAATAATTAAAAAGTCATGCAATCGCAAGCTCGGATCCTTTTCTTCCTGTTTGCAGAATGCATTCAGCTCTTGCCGGCGAAGAAAACCGCGCATGCGCATTGAAAGCTAACGGAGACAGGTACAGAAATTATCTATCGAGAACCAATTTCCCCCAGATCTTCTGTGGGGGAGGGGGAGGGGGAGGGGGAGGGGGAAGTATCGGTGGTTTCCGGGTGCGTTCGACAGCTTCGTAGGGGCCTGCTGCGTAAAAAGGCGCAGCCCGGCGAGAGAGGGGCGGGGGCTTCACGTCATCAAGAGGTCGCGGGGGTGGATGGGTGAAAGAGGCGGTGCCTCGCCTACCAAAACTAACAATAACAACTACACCCAGAAGCCCCCGCGCTCGCTAGACTTCCTCCGCCCCAACTGCTGTCGAAGGGCCTGCTTGGCTCCTGCGGGAGGGGGAACGGGCGAGAGGGGAAGATTCGCCGCCGCTATGAAGCTCCGAATACGGATGCAGAAGCAAACGGCTCCGCTGGAGTTGCCGGGGGCGGAGCCAACTTTGGGCGACCTGCGCGCGCACCTTTCCCAGATCCTCTTGCCCACCTGGGGTTACAGGTAACGTGTGGATACAGCCTTGACCGGGATTAGTGTTGGGAGTGGAAGAATAAATGGGTGAGCTGGGCCATGAGAGGGTCTGCTTTGAAGACAGAGGAGGAAGAGAGAAAACAGCGAAAATGTGGAATTTGCTATCGCAAGATACAGTGATGACAACCAATTTTGGATGGCTTTGAAAGGGGATTAGATGAATTCATGGGGTTTACCGTTATCATTGAATGGTTCTTATTTCCAGTATCAGAGACTTAATGCCTGTTTACTGTAGTCACTAGAGCATGTGAGTCGGGAGAATGCTATTACACTTATTCTACTTTCTCTGGTCTACCAGAGACAGCTGGATGGTTTTTGAGGAAACAAAATGGTGCTTTAAAGTTACTTGTGTTCTGATCCATTAAGGTCCTTCTTATGTTCTTAATACAGATTTTTTTTCTGTATAATTTCATGCTTTTTGCTAATGTCGGACTAATTTGTAGGTGCAGGAGAGAGTGACTGCTTGAAATGGGAAGAAGGGATTGGAATTTACTCCCAAATGACTGTGCTTGGGATTGCATTTTTATTACAACGGTTGAACTCTAGTTCTATATTCATTCACGTGATGTGATATTATATCATTGCAGATCTTACTAAAGAAGTTTGAGCACCATGTTGGCCTTACAAAAATTGGCCCCACTGAATTATTTTCCCGGGAGATGAGGAAATGGGTGCCTACCATGATCTGATAATTTAAAATGTCCTTGAAGAGCTGACAACTGGCAGTTTATGTTAAAGCCTACTAAACAAGGGGGAAAAAAAAAAGCAAATGAACAAACCGACCCAAACACTAATGGAAAGAATAAAAGAGCTAGCCCAGAAATGACTAAGCCCAAAACTTTGTGTTAACTATAGGTTGTTAGCCATGAACAACCCATGAAGAAAAATGATGGTTTATTCTTGTGTTATGAACTGTGGAGTTTTTAGACAATGGGTTGTCATTAAATGTGAATACAGAATTGTGGTCTGTTAGATTGCTTGGGGTGACTGGCTAGTGGGCAACAGCAGAAAAAAAAAACAAACTAGTCTGTTTTTATTTTTAAAATGTTCATATGTTGTAAGTAAAACAACACGTTATTTGAAAAAGCTGTTACATTATAACTTGGATGTTATATGTAAAGCTAATTCAACAATTCTGCCACTTGTTCTAATATTTTAATATCCTTACTGAATCTTCTCTAAGTTTAATTAGATGAAAGCCCTACCAGGTGTGGTATTCCATATCAAAACATAAATGTGGAACATAGTAGCAAAACATAGCTTGTGGTTGGCTTCTTTTCTGCTCAGTGTTTTAAGAATTATAATTTAGCGACTGCTGATACAGAAATATACTATCTTCAAAAAACAGTCCATTTAAATCTAGTTCAGATTTGGTGTGGAGCATAGGAAGTTGGGCTGAAGCACTAATAAGAATGCACACATTCACACAGTTCAGGTGATCTAATGGCCCTTCCTTCTCTTTCATGCATAAGAGAAGGAAAGTGAAAGCTTTTCTTTCAGTTATGCAGTGTTTGTGGTCTTTGGAGATGATAACCAAGCCCCTTTCTAAAGTGAAAGTTCTTTTGCTTGCATGTGGAAGAGGGTGAGAGGAAAACACAAATCTAAGGCTCAAAGTGGCTTGTTCTCTACACTGTGACTTTGGCCCAGTTAAGGCATTTGCCTATGTCTATCTGACGTACTTAACTACAAAAATTCTGTACTTCAGTTTGCCAGACAGATCCTGCTCTGTGAGTGCTTCTAGCCACATGCTTGCAATGGGCTAAAATAAGCATAGCAGGCGTAAAAGAAAGTATAACAACTTCTTGGTACGGTTATAGATTTTTTTTAAAATTTGGAGACAGCACTTAGACTGTAATTGGAATGTATGCTTCAGCTATGCGGTTTTGTTTTCACTGCAGTTCTGATACCAAGTTTGCAATAACTTTGAACAACAAAGACTCCCTTTCTGGAGACCAGGAAACCCTAGCATCATTTGGGATCGTTTCTGGAGACTTAATATGTTTGATATTAGAACATGCTGATGAAACACATTCGGCACCCTCCTCATCCTTGCCTCTCCTGCAGAATAATCATGAGCCATCCAGTTCAGCTCTATGCAACAGTCAATCCACAAACCTGGTTAATGAAGGACACAATGGACATTCAGGAGATCATAAAGTCCAAGATGCCATTCAAATGAATGATAATACGGTAAGTCTGTAAGACTTCAAGACACTATAGCATTTTATGACTCCTGAATGTGGAAAGATCTGAAGACAATCTTGGAGCAGCTTAAGTCGCTTCAGAGAGTCCAGATCTCTCAAAGAAAGCCATTGTTTCATTTTTCTTCATCAGTTTTCACAGCGAAGTATTACTTTTTGAATGGTCTCCTGTTTCTGTTGCTGTCCTTTCAAGGCAGGATCCAGCCAAGCATTTGCTTCAGAGACTGTTCCAGATGACCTTGACCTCCAAGAAGCTACAGGTTCTTATCCTTCAGAGCCAATGCTTTGTTGTGAGGCTACAGATGGGCAAGTGCCACATTCACTTCAGACCCTCTACCACTCTGCAGAATGTACCAGCGCCAATGATGCCTTGATAGTTCTGATCCATCTTATCATGATGGAGACGGGATACGTACCTCAAGTAAGCAAAAAGCAAAGGATCAGCTTTCTCTGAAATGGAATGGGAATTTCAGCATGAGTTAGGATAGTTCTCCTTACCTCAGTGCAGGCAGTGCAGTGCAGTGCAGTGTCTAAGCGAGAGATCAGCTTCCTGATATATTTTTGGTACCTTATTCAATTTTTAATGTTCTTTGGAAATCAGCACTTCCTCTACTGCTGCTAACACACTTTGTTTGAAAGTCATATAGAAGGCACATAAGTAGAGTCATGCCAGATCAGATCATAGTTCCAGTTAGTCAAGGTTCTGTTCCCACAGTGCCCAACCATGGGGAAACCACAATCTGAACATGAGTCCTGTATGCTACATGTGTCACGTCTACTTCCATAGCCAAACTACCCAGGCCAGCCCTTTCTAAATCCCATTTTTCAAAGAAAATTTGTATCTTTAACAGCTGTCAAAGGCAAGCATTAGCAAAAGGAAGGGGTGCACTTTTCCACCTTTCCTAGCACCCAGAGTCTTAGGAATGGTTGGAAAATTTAGAGGCACAAGGACATCCTGAGAGGAAACACTCAAAACCCCAAGATCTCTCACCATGAAGGTGGTTCTTCTAGCCACATACTTTTGTAAATATGGATCACTTGTGGCTTTGCTTTGACTTGATCGGTCACCTTTAGACAGCTGTCAGGGCAAAGGAAAGTGAGGGAAAAATCTATTTGCAGCTTCTCAAACAAGCCACTCTGTGGGAAGCAGTCTTGATTTACATGAGACAGCAGCCTACCTTGGGTTGTTACGTTGTATGAACCCAGGTATTGCTGCTTATCCCAGCAGCCTTTGGGAGAACCCTAGGTGTGACCTGAAACTATCCTGGCCTAACTTGGACTTCTGCAGTTTTTTTTCTCATGTTCCATCTTGAGACTGTAATTAAATCCAGACTTCCTCGCTTGTGCATCAGCCCTTTTTTCCCTTTACCTCCTGTTTGCTATGTTTGCCATCTTGTGTGTTAAAGAGACAACTCTATATTCAACTCAGTTTTGACCCCATAATTACTTTAACAAAGATACCATGCTATGTTGGCTTTCTCAATTTTCCTTATGATGAACAAGAATAACTTTCCTTTTTCTAGCTGAATAGTTCACATGACTTGTATATGTCTTAGTTTAAGATAAAGCAGTATAAACTATACTGCAATGCAATCTTTTATGCCAAATGACCCTCACCACTGTCTACTCTAAAAAGTTGTGTATTTGAAATATCCAAATCAAATTCCCTGTTCAGTTTTTAATGTTACGAGAGGGCCATTTGGGGGAGCAGGCAGAGGGCCTTACATGTTAACTGTGTTTCATGATTCCTAGGGGACAGAAGCAAAGGCAACATTAATGCCTGAGAAATGGAGGAACAGAGGTGTTTATAAGCTGCAGTATAGCCACCCCCTGTGTGAAAATGGCTTTGCTGCCCTTACCTGTGTGCCTTTGGGGGATCTTATCGTTGTCAATGGTAAGAAAGTTTTAGTTCCCCTGTGGTTGAAACAAATTCTGCTGGTTACTCTTCACCTTCCATATTCTTTCACCCTTAGCAGAAACATGAAATGAGCTCCAACTGAGTTATGTGCTGATGTCCCAGTAGACATCTCCAGGCTATGAAGCAAAACCCAGGTGTTTTGCTGGGTTGCCTGAATGTTTTAGGTTTCTTCTTGCTGTGTGCAATAGACCCCTGACCTGCAAGTTATGAAACAAGCTAAAGCATTCTCCTTACTTGGTAACAAGACAAATCTAGTGTTTCTTAATATTTTAAAGTTTGCTTTCATTTCCATACCTCAGATTCAGCATCAAAAATGTCTGTCTCCAAAAAAAGAACCTTGTTTATAAACCTGTTGTACTAAAGCCTGATTTTGACTTGCACAAAGACTGGTGCTTTTTCTGCAGTTAAATTAGTTAGCCGTGTTTGCGTTTTCCTTCTGTAAAACATTGTCTGTCTTCTTGAGGATTCCTGGCAAACCAATACATTATAAGGTATTGCTTCACCAGTAGAGTCTTCAGCTAGTTTCATGAAACTATTCTAGCGGATTGTGTGGCATCTTCAGTGGGTCAGTGCAAAATGCTGAGCAGAGAGACAAGAAGCAAGATATGATTGGCTGGTTGCATAGTTGCTTATTTCTGACACTTTACAATGTGCAAGTATTCAAACTATAAGATTTTATTAACTTACCGTCCCCCAAAGCTGCAATTATCCTAGAGGTGTTTGTTTCTTATTCCTGGATATTTGAGGCACACTATTTTAGGACTGTTCTTATGAATTCTAAACCTGTGCTTTCAGAAATAAATAAGTATTCGGTGTGGTGTATATTCTGAGAAATGGGCCAAATACAATTCTGAAAAGTTTCATTAGTGTTGGGTACAATGATACAATAGTCAGTAAATATTTTGACAAATGAAAAAGTGAAACTTGTTTCTGAGCTAATACACCTCCGGTGATACGGCAGAATTTATTTTTTTGCTTAGTTCTATTTCATACAGTAGGAATGTTGGGTTTCTGTATAGATGCTAATGGCAGTTGGTGTATATTTTGGGCTAACACAAACTACATCAAGCAAGTGTTTGTCATTAGACATCTGTTCTAAACAGAATGCAGCATTCAGTTTTCATTCTGATATCAAGATAGAAAATAAGCAGCCGCATGGTGTAGGATGCAAACTGTTGTTGAGAGTAAGAGAGCTAAGTAATTTTTCATTAGATGTTTTCTGTGTTCTTTTTGTGTGTCTTGCAGCAATGTTAAAGATTGTTGGTGACATCAAAAGTGTGAAGAGACTGCAGCTTCTGCCGTCATCTTTTATCTGTTTTCAGGACTCAGGTACTTGATATAGTCTGACTTTAAGGTGATCTCAGTCTTAAGTCAGGAACAGCAAGGAGGAAAAATAGGGAAATAGTGTTATACTAATTTTGGTAGTTAATAACATTGAAGAAATCAACTGCATGAGTGAAGCAGAGGACACTTGGCAGCAGATGTTTTCAAATTTTGTAACTATGCATCTTGCCAGGTATTTGAGGTTTCCACATACTTTATTCCCAAAGATTCATGCTAATTTTTGAGGTTCTTGGAAGATAGATGCTATAGAAGAACAACATTCCTGGGCTTATGGATGGATGAAAGGGGATGGGAGAGTGTGTGAGCTCTGACATTTTGCACAGTTGCATTCTTGCTTGTGCAATTTATACTTGGTTCTAAATTCTGGTTTAGGTTGGAAGTGAGTCATAGGCTCCCATATATGTGGTGTGTATGCTTCCATTCACTTCTGTAGGGCTATATACTGAACAAGACATCTTGCTGTCTTAATTGTGTCCTCAAACCAGGCTGCTTGCCTCTATTAATCTTGTTATGTAATGACATGCAATTGGCCAGAAGAGGGAACTGCCTCTTGGAAAATCTGAGGGCAGAAGGTGAATAACATAGGGCTTCTTAAGGATGCCAGCCTAATTAGTTTTAAGTCTTGGAATCATAGATTAGAAGAGTTGGAAAGAGCCAGAGGGCCATCAGGTCCAACTCCCTGCTCAGTGCAGGACTTCATGTTGAACCATCTCTCTCAGATGGCTGTCCAGTTGTAATATTTTAAAAGTCTAAGAGTCTTTTTCACCATAGTAGTTCTTGCAATGAATATTTGTCATTTGTTTTCCATTTCCCATGCGTGAAAAGCCAAAATTGATTCTGATATAGGTGCTATACTGTTGAGTCTTGCAAATAATTTCACAAAGGTTACCAGCTCATGCAAATTTCACTATCCTGCATAGACATATATTGTTGTGGCATGCTGCCAATCTGATTAAGAGAAGCAAATCTTTTCTGCCTTATTGCAAGTGATTTTTACTTGCAAATGGATATCACAGTAAATAGCTTTTTACAAACCTGACATTAAGATGCAGTTGAAATTGAAATGTTATTTTGTTATTTTTTTTTAAAGCAAATGTTGTCGGAGTATATAAAGACCTTCAGAAGCTCTCTCGTCTCTTTAAAGATCGGCTGGTGTACCCTCTTTTGGCTGCTGCCCGGCAAGGTAAGAGGGAGTGACGAAGGAAGCATATTGTGGATCCTTTGTAAATAGTGTGCTTGTCACCCAATAGGTATGGCAGCTGGGCAGGTAATAGGAACCTCAAGGATATCTGAGAGTGGAACATTTATTATAGTCAGACCCCACTAGCTTCCATGACCCTTTCAGTTGTTAGATGAATAGGCTCACCAGATTGAGTGATCCTCTCCATACGTCTGGATTCTGTCTGAGCTGGGAGCCTGAATCTGCTCCTAGCATGCTGAACTTTCTGTTGCTTAGTAGGCCGCAGTACGTTGTTGGTACGTAGCTGTGTGTGTGAGCATGTGTATGAACTAAACTCCAGTTATCTGCCACCTCCTGTTTAGGATTCACCCCTGTTCTCTAATCTTGAGTTTGTGTTCAAAAGGTTCATGTTCCTTTTCAAGGGAAAAGACCTCTGCTGCTGCTGAGCTGGGCAGAGCAGCTGATTCCTATGGGGTTCGACCATATAGTCAGCAATAAAATGTTAGCTTTGATCTGTGTAGGTACTTTTTCCTAGGCCAAGAGAAAATGCTTCATAGAATGCTTCATATATTGAACACAGTTAATGTCATTGGGTCCCTGCCTGATCAGTTTGGTGTTGGAGGTAGGGAAGTGAAGGTTTGGTTATCTCAAGTCTGGTGTGCATTTCAGAGGCCATAAAAGAGTCAGTGTCTACTGGACAACCATTCAGGCATGCGTCTTTACCACTTGGGTGGCTTTACATCTCTAACTGAAATAATTGAGAATAGGTTGATTTTTCTTTTCTCACTTTAGTCAGACTAGTCCTGGTACTATTTTGTATGGGAGATTGTTTGGTCACTGAAATATAGGAAATAATTCATTATTAAGGGACTTGCATAGCTATGGTAAAATGGTCAATCAACTCCTGATATGACAGTGATGACTTCCTGGGAATCTTTTCTGTCATGTTGAAATGCATTGGGTGCAACTGGCATTCTTCACTCCCTTGGCTCCTACAGAAATCCAGGTGATCCTAATACATAAACCTTAGACAAATTAGTGACCCTGTTTTAGGTATCCAGCATTACTCCCATTGAGTGCTGAGCAAGGGGAGAGATTCCACCAGGATATCACAGGCATGGAGAAAAGATACCAAGGGAAATGGAGTCCGTCCATGTTTGCTGTTTGCTGCTGGAATCTCTCCCAGGATGATTCTTCTGCAGTTCACAAGAGAAAAGCCAAAAAGCGCAGTTTGGATACCGAATAAAGATGGAACCTTGCTGTTTAATCTGTTAGAGCTGGTCAGTTTTTCATGCAAAAAGCATGAAAACGTTACATGAAAAACCACTAAATGAATGGAAAGTTTTGTTATTGGCATCAATAAAAATAAATTTATAATGATTGGTGTGGCACCATTCTCATTGCTATATCACATTTTGCAGAAAATTTATGGAGTATAATCACACATCCCCCTCATAATTTTGAATTATTTTGATGCAATTTTGACCTGTATCTTGGAAACTGGAGCCAATTAATACTCAGGACTTAATTTTCCTTTATTAGTGACCCGATTCTGGTAAGATTTAGCTACTTTCATTTCCAAGGCTTTCTCCTTGTAGACCAGTGTTACCGTAGTGTTATGGATAATACTGCTCCCTCCAATCACCATTCTATTGTCTCAGCTTTGAACCTACCAGATGTGTTTGGCTTGGTGGTGCTTCCACTGGAGCTGAAACTCCGGATTTTCCGACTTCTGGATGTCCGCTCCCTTATCTCTTTGTCTGCTGTTTGCCATGACCTCTACACTGCTTCAAATGATCAACTGCTGTGGAGATTCATATACCTGCGAGACTTCAGAGGTGACTGCTTATTCGCATTTTTTCTAATTACATATAAATGAAGTGAGTGCCTTGATCCCACACTCACCTGCCTGTAGCACTTTGGCAGGCTAATCTAATGAAAGGCAAAGTCTTATGCAGTTTTATACTGTAGGACAGGGGTCCTCAAATTTTTCAATAGGGGACCAGTTGAAAGGTGGCGGCTGCACTTGTGGGCCAGTGGGGGGGGGGTGTGCCTGGGTGTGTGGGCCAGTGAGGTGTTGCCGGGTGTGTGCGAGGTGGCGTTGGGCACGTGTGGCGGCAGTTCGTTCACTCGGAGATCTCCCAACGAGTCCAAAACCATCTCCGAGTGAGCAAGCCACCACCTCCTGCGCATGGCGGGTGGCGGGCGGCAGCACGGGCTGGATCCGTCCCGCGTGCCGTAGTTTGAGGACCCATGCTGTTCGGTTTGCTGCTTGAATGTTCATAGGGCTGTTCTCAGGGGAACCAGCAACATACTTGGATCCAAAAGCACAGCAACTAGGCAGCTGTTTTGGAGATAGGATTTTGTTTAGTATCAATTGCAGAAGGCCTGCTTGTGGACGTTGTGTGACCAGTACAGGGTTCCTAACTTAAGGGCAGTATATTTCCTTTCTTACATAGGGCAATCTATATTGCATTTTTCTATCAGACTGAATTCTTCCATTTCTTTGCAGATCCTGTTGCCAGGTCTCGAGACACAGACTGGAAAGAAGTAAGTGGCTGTCCTGATACGTTTCTTTGTAGGTCTTTTTTTCTCAAAAAGAACAGTCAGGAGAGTCAGCGATTTGCAGGCAAGCCCTAAGTTAAGTGAAACTTCCATTAATACAGGAGGCAAGTTCTTCACCTGCTGACATGTGCTCAAGGAGCTAGTGAGCAACTGCATTCTCTTTGATGCCAGCCTGCACAACTTCATTGGAACAGAGCAGAGCTGAGTTCTGGTCTAGATTCTCTATTCAAGTGAAAATGTTGTTATCCATAAGTTAGAGACTTGAAGTGAGACCAGCCCAGTACTACATTTTCCTTGAAACTATGAAGCTCTTGGGGGGTACTGCTCTGTTGGAGAAATTTCTGCTGGTGGGGAGGTGTGTGTGCCGGTGCGTTGGTTAATGCATTGTCTTAAATACAGTTAGCTATAGATATAAGAAAACTAAGTTCATGGCATCCGGTCCTATCACTTCCTGGCAAATACATGGGGAAGAAATGGAGGTAGTGACATATTTTATTTTCCTGGGCTCCAAGATCACCGCAGACAGGGACTGCAGCCAAGAAATTAAAAGACGCTTGCTCCTGGGGAGGAAAGCTATGGCAAATCTAGACAGCATACTAAAAAGCAGAGACAGCACCCTGCCGACAAAAGTGCGTATAGTCAAGGCTATGGTTTTCCCAGTTGCAATGTATGGCTGTGAAAGCTGGACCATAAGGAAGGCTGAGCGCCAAAGGATTGAGGCCTTTGAATTGTGGTGCCGGAAGAGACTCCTGCGAGTCCCTTGGACCGCAAGGTGATCAAACTAGTCAGTCCTAGAGGAGATCAACCCTGACTGCTCTTTAGAAGGCCAGATACTTTGAAGATGAAACTCAAATACTTTGGCCACCTAATGAGAAATAAGGACTCCCTGGAGAAGAGCCTAATGCTGGGAACAATAGATGGCAAAAGAAGAAGGGGACAGCAGAGAATGAGGTGGCTGGATGGAGACACTGAGGCAGTTGGTGTGAGCTTAAGTGGACTCCGGGGGACGGTGGAGGACAGGAAGGCCTGGAGGAATGTCCACGGGGTCGTGATGGGTTGGACATGACTTCGCGATTAACAACAACATAGATATGAATGTTTTAAGAAGCATTTTTAGTACCGTGGATACTTCTCAAGTAAACCTATACTTTTTGTCTTCTCCTTTGCAGCTGTACAAGAAAAAATTGAAGCAGAAGAAGGATGCCCTGAGGTGGAGGCACATGATGTTTCTGCCCCCTCCTCCCCTTCCCATCCCATTTCATCCCAACCCACTATATCCCAATCCTTTCCCACCAAATCCCTTTTATCCTCCAGCTATCATTGGTGGTGAATTTGATGAAAGGCCAGCACCTTCGTACATTGGAGACCCAATCCACTCCCTCTTCCCTGGCCCTGCGGACCTTCCAAGTCAGTATCCTCCTCTTGGGCCACACTTTGATCCATTTGTACCATTTCAGGAACCCAATCCCACCCTCCCAGGAAGAGCCAGTCGAGGCCGCCCCATTGATAGCCGCCGTGCATTCATATGACACCTCTTGTGACCTTGGCTTTAGGATTTTAAACCTCCCTGTTCCTGGGCTTTCTTTGAAAATGCAGGATACTTCAGCTACAGGGCTCTGATATATGCTTTTTAAATCACGGCAATGCATATATTCTACGATATCTTGATGCCAGGGACTTGGGCCCAGCAACTCAGTGCAAATAGCCAGTGATGCCTCCCTTAGGACTAGAGATCCTTTCCAACGGAACTCTGTGGGACACTTTATTCTTTTCATTACCATCTGCAAATTGCTTTGTAGAAGGCAAAAGGTGGTTAGCCTTTGCTGCATCAGATAAAGAGCACTTTAAACACAACCATCTATGTTGGTCTGGATTGTCTTATTTTGTAAATATGTCTACTGAATATTTGTGGTGATGTTTTCCTGAATAACTGACTTGATTAAAATTATTTTCCATGGGAGAACTTACTGTTCTGGGCAAAAGACCAGGCCCTGAAGTGTCCGATTTGATTTTTCTTCAGTCACCTGTTAAGGGTATTTCTTGCTTTTATTACTTGAAAAGCAATTTTCGTATTGGACTTGAGTGCACAAAGAATACAGGGTTAACATGGTTTTTCTTACACTTGAAATAATAAAACATTGAACAATCCATCTACAAACAGTTGAATAATAACATGCTACGGTGCAGTTCAGAATCTGACCAAAACCATGAGCAAGAATACCCAAAGTTCTGATAAAAAGATAGACTTGATGATCCTCTTGCAAGTAGCGGGAGAAATGTGTTGTAAAATGACAGCACTGACTGTACAATTCAGTAAGATGGGATCTGTGTAGTGATAGATGGTAATGAGTCTTGCTTTCATCAACCTTGCTCCTAGTTATTTTGTCTGCATAAAGTTACTCGTTTCTGGTACGGTTTTAGTATAGCTGACAAACTAAACATATTTTTACAAAGCAGCGGATGTAACTCTGAAAGTTCATACTGTTTCAATCAACCTGGTGGTGTGTCTTTAGAGAATACAGGAGGTACCTCCTTCCTGGAGGTTCGGTACAACAACACTGTCTAAAGAGGTTGATTAGAACAGAGACTGTCTGCCCCTCCCCCATTCTCTTGCTTGGGGAGGGAGAATTAATTACAGTGGGTGCTTACATCCCTGGATGTTTCCTGTCAGCCAACAACCCAGAATACTTTGATTACAGTTGATCGGGTTGTGCTGAACTTGTAAAGCCAATTTATTTCTAGATTCCAAGTTGGGTTTAATCGGTTCTAAATGCAGCTGCACATAATACTACACAATAGGCAGAAACTAGAATGTTTTCAGCTGTGCACATATCTCCAAACTAAGGTTGCTTGGCATGTAGATTACATGTGTCTGCATAATGGTTTCTGTTTGGGCAGTAGTACTTCATGATATTTATTGCTTGCATTCCCCTTCACTAGATTTGCTCATAGTTTTTTTTTTTTTGGAAAGGGCACACTATTTCTAAGGATGCTGTCTTAAAGCTTTTTAAAACATGACTTTATATCCAGAAGTAGCTCTTGATATTTAGCTCTTATTCAGCTTTGGCAAGCACAGATTGCTACAGTTGCAAGCACCAACCAAGTCTTCATAGTACCTCATCCCATTGCTAACTAGCATTTATCAGCATAAATATTTATAATTGGAACATGCCTAAATTACCTTTGAAAATGGTTTGAGCATAGTAACAGAGCTCTGATGTACATCCAAACCACTGGTTCCTTCCAGTTATCTTGGTAGGAGACTTCCGATATAGTGGCATGTTTTTACCAAGTTCATATACAGTATGAAACCCTTTGAGGGAGATAAAAGTTTGATTTTTTCTTCAGCAACCCTTTGCACTTGATATACTCTGTGTTTTTGCTGGCAAAATTGGCTGCTTGTGAGATGAGCTATCATTTTTTTGTAGTACCTCAGTGCTATGTAATGAACTTATCCCTGTGAGGTAGATTAAGCAAAGTGACTTGCTTGAACAAAGATGTCAGTATTTCCTCACACTAAGCTGCCTGCACAAGGGAAGCCTTGTTCTAGCTATTTCCAGGAGACTAGTTGATTCTGGTACAATTTCAAACTATGCACTTGTTACTTTGAGATCACAGGCAACTCAGGCAAAGTATCAGAGCTGTATTGCTGTCCTACATGATAGATGCTAAAGTGGAAACAGTTTTGTTTGGAATGTTATTTTGAAGAAAGTCCTGCAAGTGTGACTGCTGGGAAACTTCAGCCTAAGATGGCCGGATGATGCAACCACGTTCCTTTTAATTCGGGTGGAAGCATCAGTGCAGTTTTCATTTCTCCTGGCCCCTTCCCTTGGAGCCACACTCCTGCAGCAGCCTCTCTGCCCAGCAGTTTGCTGCCGAGTTTGTGCAGCAGAGTAGTGCACAATGGTAAAAAGGTCAGTTTGTACTCCCATCGGTTTGGCTGGCATGACTCTTGGTCATTTCCGGAGCATGCTGGGGAGGTCAGCCTGGCCTGCATTACAGAGCATGTCTTGCTCACGTCTGCTTTAAGTAGAAGGTCATGAGGAATGACCTTTCCATATGTCCAATGCTGAGTTGCACTTCCAAGCACTGCTAGCAAGCCTGATTGCTGCTAAAACTTCAACACCAGCAAGAGTGATGGCTTTTGCCTTGCTCTGAAAAAAAGGTAACGTGTACGAAATGGCAGATGCTGCAGGGAACTTTTAAGCAGGACTGGAATGTTGACCCTGCTCAAGCTCAGCTCTAGAACATGTACTACACATCTCTGACCATTGAGAAACTGCGGCTTCCTCCCAGCACTTGTTAGCTTGAGGCAGGGCACCAAGCATGACTTCATGCGTCACTGAACCTGGCTATGCTCACTTAAGATTGGTAAAGGCAAATGACATGCTTGCGGTGGCCTTATCACTGAGCCCAGCTGCCATAGTTAAAGCACTGACTTCTGCTTCTGTCCAGAGCACGGTGCCAGACTAACGTCCTGCTTACTTCAGTGCTGCATAGATAGCGTAAAAAGGAAGTCAAGCATTCTCTTGGTTTCAAAGTGAGAATGGAACAGAGAGCTCCGGCAGTGACTTCTTTCTCTTCTCTCTTCCCATCCTTTTTTTTTTTTTTTTTACTTGCCTTGTGCCCTGCTCTTGCTAGGCTGCCCAGAGTTCATGCCACCATGGTCTAATTCTGACAATGGCACTAGAGAAAATGGAATGGGACTGGAGGGAAGCACTCTTGCCCATGTTCTCTCCCTTGAGGCACTGTTGCCCCCTTGCTTTGCTGCCACTGGAGGATGAGGCTGCTGCACTTGGGCTGGCTGGCTGGCTGGCTGTTTTCCTGTTAGCTTCTCCTGAAATGATATCTGAGGGGGTGTTCCAATTTGCCTTGCTATTTCCCGGCTCCTGTGTTTTCTTGAGAGATTTCAACAGGCATGAGATTCTAATCCTGCAGTATTTCAAATATTTTTTTCACTCAGTTTCTTACCTGAAATTCATTATGGCTTTTAACGCTGCATATAACTTGAATTACACTGTGCATGCTCATAAGCATAATTCAAGGACTTGTGTATTCTTTCGCCAACACATGGTGGTGCTCCAGGATAAGCTGTCGAACGTCAGCATTTTATTACCCAGGATCAGCGGAAAGATGCTGTCAAGTCTTGGGCAAGTGGCATTGTTGTGGCTGATGGAGCAAAACAGTTGGAGTCCGAATGATGAGCTAATCTGCTCTTCGGAATGCCAGAATAGATTTTATGCAGGCTGCATATTGACCAAAATATCTGCTACAAATGGCCTTGCTCTGAACCTGTGAGCCACTTCCTTTGTCAATGATGTTTTACTCTGCAGAGATTATTATTAAAATGATCTCCTGAAAGTTGTTACGCTTGAGTGTGGAGGGGTAGATTTGGTTCAGTGGGGTTACATGGAAAAGCTGTTTACTTAGCTGTTTCAAATCATCTGTGGGATCTTTTAAAACGAGTCAATGAAGAGCACACACTGATACTTAAGGTGCTGTATAAGGAACCTATAGAAATATAACCATGAAAGATTCCATTTGCAGCCTGGGGTTATTTATAGTGGGAAAAGTGGATAAGCTGAATGAGCCTTGGGACAGCTGGACTGTCCCTCACCCAACAGTGTGTCTCATTCACACACAAGCTGAGTGTTCAGAGCTCTTTGTCTGCACTGCAAGATTTGTAGGCCTGCGAATGCATGAGCTTTATCCTCTAACATGGCGGTAGGTATCCTTCCTATGTGCATGTGCATATTTTATTCAGTGGGCTGCAGGAAGAAATGAGGATGAGCAAGATCCCACTTCTTGTCGAGATTATTTTCTTCTTTGCTGTATGTATGAAAAGGCTCTACAAGGAACTATGGGTACTACTTGGTAAATTTAAGGAAAGATTGGATAGGTAAATAGAAAAAGTGACTCATTTGCCCTCCAAAAACAGCACACCAAAAATTGCTCTAAAGTTAAACTGAGAGCTTAATCAGAAAACAGGCTAGCAAAGGACTTCCTCAGGTTGCGGATAGTTTCAGCTTTTGCCTCGTCTTCATTGGCATTTCCCCGCTGTGATGATTCTGAGAGGCTGAATGTGTTTGTCAGGGACTGTGATTTGCTGAAAAAGAAAAGAAAGAGAAGTGGGCATCTTCCTTGCAAGGGCAAAGATGGGAATAGGATGGATGCACGGGAAACCGGCCTTCTTGGAAGCCATCGAGGCTCCAGCCAGTGCTTCAGCTGTCAGCCCTTCACCTGCTGCCACTGAAGGGGAGGAGGCGCTCCTGGCACACCCTGTGAAGAGTGAGCGTCCCTCAGTTCTGCACCAGTTCACGAACCAAAGGCAGCCGCCGCCACATGCTCCCTACTGCTTCTCTGTCTATCTGACCATGCCAACAAGTGCTACTTCTGACAAACCTTGTCCTGGTGAGCAGACAAATGGAGACAAGGAGAAGCAGCCAATGCAACCTACCCCACCCTCTTTGCATGGCAGACACGGAAGAGAGCAGATGTGGAAGCACTTGCGATTTATATCTTGTTTAGTACATGGTGTCCACGCCCTCTTGGCAGCTTGAGGAACAGGCTTTTTATGGCCTCGCTTTAATGGCGACATGAATCTTTGGCAAACTTGATCTAAGGATTGCTTGAGTTTGTAGGGAGAGAGCTTGGTTAGCTCTGATGACTGTGACCTGCTGAAATGCTGTGCATTGAACTGTGTGGCCCACACTTCAGATTACAGTAACCATTCACTGTCAGAGGTACCTACTTCAGGTGAGGATGTGGAGGGCCCTGCTGCTTTGATGATTCACTGGAGCCTTGCTGTCCAGGACCCCAACCTTGCGCTGGAGGTCTAGGTTGCTGTGGGGGAAAGGTGGCCGGCTTGGAAGTCTGGCTTGGTGAGCTTCCAGCAGATGATCTCGTCTGTTGGGGAGATCCAGGAGACCTCTGCTGTGGGGAGGTGGGTTGGGGGCTCAGTGGCTGCTGACCCTGTGGAGACAGCCTCTGCTGGGGTGGAGCTCCTGTCCGTGCAGGCTGGGCCCCCTGAGGCTGGCGTGGGCCCCCTGAAGCAAAGAGGTACACTTAAATAAGATGCACGATTGAGACAAGAACAGGAAATAGCATGAGTCTCGTATTTCGTGTAGTGTCCCACTTGCGCTTATGTACACCTGGGAAACTATATAAAAAAGGGACGTGGATGAATGCTGAGAGTCCCCTACCTTACAAGCAAATTCTTTAGAAATCTAACATAGAAATTATATTACTCATAGCCTGGACAAATGGTTGGATATGATACACACATCATACAGAAAATGCTGAATGCTGCAAGGTTAAGCATTCCAAATGTAAGTAACAAGGGGCATGTCCTCTCTTCCTTGTGGAACTTCACACAAAACTATATTATGGTATCTTTCTTTCATGCACATTTATTAAAGCCTGTAAGTTACAGCACACAAAGTTCCCTTTTAGTTCTTTTAATATCTAGCTAGCTTAACCTTCTCCATTTATTTTGCTCTCCATTTTAAGAATCTGATCTTCAGCTTTTAAAAACTTCATTTTTTTATCCATGTTTTCAATTTTATCTGAAATAAAAATATATTTCAGAACTTCTAAAGTTATTGTTGGCATTGCTTTTGTTTCTTTACTAGTCTCAGATGTTGACTCTAATCTTTTTTCCAGAATGAGCTGTCTGGGAAGAAAGATGGTATTCTTAATCTTTCTCCCTTCCCTGTAAAATAGAGCTCTAGTTTCTTAACCATGCTGAATATGCTTTCCTGCAAGTCATACTTCTGTGCTGGAATACTTGACCCTCTAATCCAGTACTCTCATACGATTTTCAGATTATGCTAGTACCTTCTCTTACACTTTACTTGTACGTCTTACAGTACAGTCAGTACCTTGAGGAGGTGGTCGAGGCTGCGAAAGCTGTCCAAGTTGGGGTCCTAGCTGGCACTGCATCTGTGATTTCATTGACTGGGGCTAGAAGGAAAAACCATTACAGTCAACAGCATATCAGAATCATGACAAGCACAAAGGTGTACCTAGTGGTCAAAGCAGCATAAGGCCAGCACAAGCATCTACCCATAGGGAGCACTCTAGAAATGAGGAGGCCAGAGGTAACTGATTTAAGTAAGTCATGAGGATTGGCAGGTGTGTGCGTGCAACAGGTATCTAGTGTGGCAGGTAGACAAATACTTAAGGTAGCCTCTTTTAGGGCAGAGCTTCTGTCCCTTTAATATCTGTGTAGAATGAAGAATTTGGTAGGTGCAGATTCAACTGCTACAGCAGAGTTAAGAAGCACTTTTATTTTTTTCTATAAAACCCCAAACTTGAAATTGCCATGGCCTTCCAGCTTGTTAAATACAGAGGCAAAACACGTATGGGGGATCTCTTTTTATTTTACTGATTTTATTTCATTTCTACATCAAAGTTACCTGGATGGGTTCACAACAATTTTAGATACTCAGGCATAGCTAATCTAGGTTAAATGATCCTGATTATGCTCTTTCATTCAAGGAGAGCATTGGTCTGATCAGCTGTGTTCAAACTACTTACATTGCTTTTCCAGGCAGACTGTATTCCACTTTATCTTACTTGAAATCACCTGCTTGGGGAGGTCCCTATGCATGTGGGATACACTGGGGACAAAACTCTCTTTGCTACTTTGCAGGTCGGGTGGGTAAAAGCAGGAGGGAAATGAAGTAAGGGACAGGGTTAAGGAAGTCTTTCCCCCACTGCACTACTCTTCTGTTTTAGCTTGTAGGTTCAGGTGTGGAACTGAATAAAAACATCCCAGAACTATATGTAATCTGTAGTTCTGCCCACCATGACTCAGATTTAGAATATATGGAAATAATTTTTGTAGCATAATCTATTATTGGAAGCAGAGTTATTTTCTGATAGCATTGGAAAATGCAGTATATTTAGGATGTAATCCCAAGGGGATGTCCTTAACCCTCCAAATTTGGAGGATTACAGACCTGCTATGCACGGTGGGAGAAGCACAAAGGGAAGGAGGAAGAGATACTCCCAGAGTAACTTGTGTCCTAACGGTGCTGGTCTCGTCTCCTCTTCCTTCACCCCCTAAGCCCCTTCTCTGAGGTTGCTTTAGAGAAGCAATTGGTGCGGTTCTTTCTGCACTTGCTGCAAGTAACAGGGGCCACTCTGTGTGCGAATCGCAGCCCTGGCACTGTGCAGGGGCTGTTGCTATCCAATATTTAGTCATATCAGTATACTAAGAACAGATGGTCATCTTACCCAAGGTCTTAGAGGGGAAGGGGAAGAACCCCCAGCTGCAAGGGCCTGTGCCATTCTGGAGACAACCAAATCTGCTATTAGTTGCCTGTCTTCTTCCACGTGCTCCCCTATCAGAGGCATTGAGCTGTCCATCACCTGTAGAAAGAGATATAATGAGTCCTATAGATCAGTGGAAGCAAGCTCCTCACCTTTGGACGATGGCAGCTAATGCATCTGTGTAGCACAAAATATGGGCCCATGCTTGTATAATTCAAGGCATTATTTCATGGCAGTTACCTGCTAGAAAATATGATCTTGAAGATTTTTTTTTAAAGAACCATGACACATCTAAGTTATGCCAAGTTCATCTCTTTAAAAATTGCTAAAGCAGCAACCGTGTCTGTGATGGCTGATTTGTGTTTAACCTGTTCTAATAAATAGTGCAAGCAATTTGTGCAGTCAGCATGCACCAAATTCCATGCTCTGATCTGGTTTCCAGGGAGAGAGCGCTAAGTGTGTTAAGGCTAAAGCAGATGCCACATGAAATGCACAGAGTTCAGTTGATCCTCAGCATTTTTTTTTTTTTTTTTGTAATTTTAAAGTAACCACCTAGGGCCCAGAACTGCACTGGGATCACTCCATGTGGGAAGGGAAGCTATAAGCTTTGCACTGAGCCACCTTTCCCTCAATTCTCTCTCCCCCATTCCCAGATGATATAGTCATTAAAAAATAATCTCTGTTGGCACCAATGGAGTTTTCTTGGACCACCATGGAAGGGGGGAGGGCAAGTTTGGGGGGGAAGTGGCTGGATAGAAAGGTTTCTCCCTCACCAGCTCATTTGTTCCCAAAGCAAAGGTGGTTGGTAGGACTGAGTCATGATGTACATCAGCTGAAAGAATGAAGAGTTCATCCTTGATCCATATAAAATTCTCTCTGGTAACTCTTCTCTCCTTTGCTTCAATTCTTCTTTGCAGTTTCATATTTTATGTGAGAAGCAATGGCAACAGGAGTTTTTGACCACTAGATGGTGCCCTTATATACCTTGAATGCAGTACCCCATGAAGAAAGGAACCTTGCTTAGATAATACAATTCTGCTCCTCCTCAACTAACAGTCCCCTTATTCTGAGTCAGGCTCCTTATGTGGCCAAAATGGCATTATGCAAATGCAAGAGGGGAGGTTTCAGCAGGTGTGGGCGGACCCCAAGTCTTTAGGAACACCAAAGAAAAGTAGCAGGGGAAGGACTAGGACAGGAGAGAAAAACCCAGTTGTGACTACCTTGAAATTACTCGTAGATATAATGTGCAGTTAGATATAATTCAAGGACAGGGTAAAGGCTGCTAAAATATTTCAGTATCAGGGTACACAAAGTGTTCTGTATTGGGTGATGCTGAAATTTACCTTGAACCTTATATTGTTTCTATTATTTGTGGTTAGACAGTGTTCCAGTTCTGTCTGTGTCATTTCTAAAATAAAAGGCCTGATTCAAGAAAGAAAATTTGTTACTAAGCATCAGGTCCCACAGTCATCTTACGGTAAAATCCATGTGACAAGCAAAGAGCGCATTAAGCAATGATCGTCTCTCTTGACAATTTGGTGATAACAAACCAAACTCAACAGTGTTCGGAGTGGGGGCCCTTGCCATTGTGAGCAGGAGAGTTCTGGTACCACCAGAAAGGTGAAAGAAGATGAACCTGACCTTTTGCCAGGGAGGCGGTCACTCCTCCACCTTCCCATCTTTGCCCCCCACCTTGCCAAAAACAGCAGTAAAGAAAAGGCACTTGGGGGTGCAAATGGCAGTGATGACAACAACCAGCAGCCCAGTCCTCCCGCACGTCCTCTCCCCTCCTTGCATGCGGGAAAACTGGAAACTCCAATGGCAAACATGTTCCATTTCAAGCAGCTCCACCCACAGGATGGGTATTTTGTTCGTGTACTACAATGGTGGCAATCAAGTAAAAGAAGCAAGAGGAGGCGGCTAAGAATGGGGGCAACTTCTGTTATTTCAGTTGTGTGAGCTCCAAAGGTGGGATGGATCTCATTAAAACCCTCTTGGATCGTTTTGCATTCGACCAGCATGTGCAATCTGACCTTAGAAAGTGATGAGATAAACATGTGAAACTAAGCACAGAGTTGGCATATACAAAGTAGAAACATCGTTTCCGCATCCCTGAGAACAAAACTTTCATGTATCAGCTGAGAGAAAACAGAGGCTGACAGCCCTTGTGCATCTGGCCTTCACCACTGTGCAGGGTCAGCAGCTGTCTCAAGCTACAGTTGTTTTTTCCTGATAAGGTATCTTGGAGGTTGATGGGCAAAGGCAAGGCTCCACACGGAAAGCCCCATCCCTCTTTCCAGCCATCTCCACTATGTCTGCATTTCCGTGAGATGTTGCTGTTTTCAAGAGTCAAGATTGGGGAAGTTCGCAGGAAGGAAAGCACTGGTCAATTGCATCAAAGCGGGTGTCTGGCTGGGTACATAACAGGTCAAACGATACACAAACTTCAATAGCGGTACGTCAAAGCTCATGGGAGCAGCTGGGGCTGGAGCTTGGGCGCAAAGGTCAGGGTCCCCCCAAACCACCGAGAAAGTAGCAGCTGTTGGAGGCGACAGCAAAGAGATCAGTCTTAGGCTGGCTAGTTCCATGTCATTCTTGCAGCCGTGATGGGGGTATGATTCAGGGGAGCTTAAAATGTGCCACTGCACATATTCAGAATATTTTTTAATGATCAAAGTTGGCAATTATTTTTGTTCTAACAAGAAGCATAGAGGGAAGGGAAAGGCTCATGGTGTGTCTTATTCCTGAAGTAACCCACATGATTGGCCGCACAAGACCTTTGATTCTGGGGTCTCAAATCCCTTGGCTGCAAGGGATTTGAGACCCCAGCCTCACCTCATGTGAGGCTGGCTATATCCAAAGAGCATTAAGGCAGGTGACCTTGCTGAGTGTTGGGGTTGCCAGTTGTTCTGAAAAAAATGCCCTTCCCTGTTCCTGTGCTATAATCATTTGCCAGAAATTGGCAGGTGAAGTTTTTCATTGCCTGACGCTTAGTGCTACCATCTGCTCATATCCACGGATCAAGCTGGAACCGGAACAGGTGAACTTGGGCAATTCTATTAAATGGGTGATTCAAGCAGGAGAGGCGAATGCAGCATACAACAAGATGGTGTTTTTTGTCTTGTGCTCTTTTCATGTGTGTCCTGGCAACAGGTGAAGTTGGTCTAAAGATTCCAGGAAGCTTTGGAGGTAGGTCAACAGGTGCATTCATCCCTAAGGTCAGTCGTGGTCCCCTGTTGTCAAAGGCATAATCTTATCTGTGTTTTGGGGTTGTGGTTGTCTCTCACTGTTCTACCCAAACCCGGATGTCTGCATTGCTTCAAAGCAGGATGCATGGGCTTTTTTGACCCAAGGGCTACATGTGCCATGGCTCTTAAACAAGATCTGTGGTGGAGAGGGACAGAATAGAGAACCTCTCTCCACCACCTGAGTGGCAAGAAAAGAGTGGTCTATATGAGAATCTCTAAAGAGGAGATGGAGAGCAGAAGCAGTGAGGAATTAAGCAGCCATGATTCAACCTGTGCTTGTGGAGTTGGCCTTTTCTTATATGTTGGCAGCTGTCTTATGATGAGTTAGATCCTTGGTTGGCCTACTCCAGTCTTGGGGAATCCTAGCCAAGCATCAACTGGTAAGAGCTCTCCTGGGATTCAGTCAGCTGCTTTTCCTGCTCTTTCTGTTTTAACAACAACATGGTTTCTGATAGATCATTTGCAGTAACACGAGCAAAATTCATGCTTAAAATATGAAGGAGCCACCTTACTTTTCTCTTCCCCAGGACTGGCCCACTGTCTTCTGTGTAAGACCACCAGTCTCCAGCATTTTGCAACTAACTCCAAAACTGGAGTAGAAAAGGATCTACATCATTGCTGCTGCTGCATGACATACAGGAAAAGAGATCATAGAAGAGGCTAATGCAAACGTATTTCCCCTCCTGGCAGCGCACTTGTCTCACACAACCTTTGACCTGTCGCTGATTCCTGCAGGATAGTTGTGCAGCGCAAGAATGTGCTGCTGCCCCGGGGGCTCATGTGGTTCTCATCAGCTTCCCAGAGCTTAGTGGGTGGGACTGCTCTCCCACATGCAACTATTTGGATGTGTCAGTGGCCCTGAATGTAGCAGTAGGCCGGCTTTGCTCATCTGTCCGCGTTGGTGGGGTTTACAGCAGGGCAGACACGGCGTCTCCATTCCAGCATCCTCATATGGTAACCAAGGACACTTTCTCATTCTTTTGCACAGTTGTCCGATGATCTTCTCCCCCCCACTGAGAAGTTCTTACATTTCAACTTTGATAATATGTTTTGTTTTTGGCTGCTTTTTTAATATTCACCCTTCCGCCTCGGCCTGATCAGCCCCGTTACTGCAAATAAGACACCCCTCAGCATGGCAAGATTGAGCTCAAAAAGCCAGTTTTTCTAGATGCGGTTTGTTCCAGCTAATCTGCCCTTCGGAGGGGGCCAGCAGTTCATTAGTCACGCTACCCGCAAACCCCGCAGAGGCACTTGCAGTTTCCTTTCAGCTGGAGGTGCAAATAAGTTGCGGCTCTCGTTCAAGATCTCCGAGGCTTCATTACAGAGTTAATCACAGAGGAACAGAATTGGTACCTAAGAGCAAATCAGGTACCTGTTAACCTATCCAAAGCCTCTTGATGAGTTTTTAAAAACAGCAGATAAATCCAATTTCGGCTGCGTTCTCAACAGAATAACAGTGTCCAGATTGTGGGAAATAAGGGTACTCATTCTATTCGACTTTGGTCAGAGCTCACCTGGAGTATTCTGTCCAGTTCTGGATGCTACAGTTTAAGAAAGATGTTGACAAACTGTGATGTGTCCTCAGAATGGTGACAAAGGTGGGTGAGCAGGCAGGCAGGGAATAAGTAGTATAAGGAATAGCTGAAGGAGTTTTTGCCTGGAATAGAGACGATCTAAACTGACATGATCACTGTTTTCAGATGTTGGAAGGGGCTGCCCTAGAGCTGGTGGAACAATTGTGTCATCTGTTGCTTCAGAGGTAAGGACCCTGATCAGCAGGCTAAAATCAGAAGAAAGGGATTTTGATTTCAAATAAAGGGGTCTTTAACCTTTCTTCCTTTTGTCAGTCATATCCCCAGTAGGTTGCCAACTTTTATAGGCACCTGCTGACCTCAACAGCTCATCTGTTGTTAAAATGCAGAGGAGCAGACCAAGCTGTTTCTTCTGGTCAGGTGGCAACAAGTATTGTCCCCTCTCCCTCTCCCCTATTTAGATTTAGCCAACCCTTATCCTAATGCTCTGTATTTTTCCCCTTCTGTCCTTTTAGTTGTCACTGCTTTGATGTGATTAATCAGCTCTTTCCTTCCTTTTCACTGGCCAGCATCCCTTGTCAACTGAAAACAAGTTTATCCTGTACATTTCACTGAAGTGCAAAAGTGAGGGAAATAGCTGAAGACAAGGTGTGTGCTCCCCAACTGTTTTTCCCTTCCATGTCTTTCTCAGTTTTCTGATCTTAGCTCCTTTCCACAGGGATGAAACACATCAGGAGAAGGTAAACAGACTTGTGTGCACATATCAGGAACTGTATTAAAGAGGAGATACTCAGAATGAGACATGTTTGCAGATCAACTGCTTTATTCCTTTAGCAAAGATGTCCATTCATAGCATCCCTCCTCCCACTAGTGATATACATTTCAGTCTGGTTCACTTTTCCAAGAGGCTTGACTGGCTGAAAGAACATGTAGAGTATAAGAAGCCCATTGCCGAGGCCAGGCAAGGTCCATGCAGCTCGGCTTTCTCTTCCCATAGAGACTGGCCCGATGACTGCAGGGGAAGCTCACAAGCAGGCTTAATTGGTGATGTCCAGTCCCCATGGTTTCTCTGCAGCATCTTGCTCACCTGAGGTATTCTGCCTCTGATCATGGAGGTTTCATTTGGCCATCTTTACTAATACCTACATAATTAACTGTCTTCTGTGACCTGTCTGATTTCCCTTCAAAATTATTCTTATGCTTATTCTTAATTCTTTGCATTTGTATCCTGCCATTTTAATTCTTGTGTCTTGAATTTGGCCCTCACTGAGGGATTACATTACTCATTATTTTTCCTCTACACATGCTAAAGTGGATGCATGTGGGTAGGAGATGTGTATCTTTATAACTAGAGAACAGGTGTCTGAGCCATGCATTTCTAATCACAGAAAGAGAAGGCTTTTCTACATCAGTTGTTTATTGTGTGCTTGTGATCCCTCACTCATGGTAGTTTGCTGGTGCTTCACACAACATCATCTTGCAGGACTTCTTAATGCTTTCCAAGCACTTCTGCAACTTTTTTTTAGAGAAAGGAAAGTGTGCTGTTATCTACATATCGAACTAAACAAACACATGTATTCCTGCGAATCCGCTCATTGCAGTGCCAAGCTGTGGTTGTATACAGGAAATCAAAGAAAGAAAAAACGTGTATAAAGGAACCAGTATGAATTTCGCAAACGTTCTGCAAGCAGAAGCCTTGGTGACATGGCTGGTTAAAAATCTCATGGAGAGAAGCATGGAGACAGTCAGAGGGGGCTTGTAGGCCATGTAGCAGGAAATCCAGAACTGAAGCAAGCCCAACAGAGAACTGTCAAGTGTGTAAGAATATCAAGAATGTAAGAAGGAGCCCTGCTGGAGCTGGCAAGCATCCATTAGTCCAGCGTCCTTCTCATGCGGCAGGCAGCCACCGGTTTGTTCGAAACGCACAAGCAGGATGTGAGTGCGATAGCTCCCTCCTGCTTGCATCCCCCAGCAAGGGGCTTCTACTCACAAGTCCTTGGCAAGGGGGAGCCCACCAATTACCAAGCTGATCTTACAGCCAAGAAGTTTAGCCTAGTGTTGAATTTAAATCTGCCATCCTGTAATAAATAACATCACTATATAGCCCTTCACCAAATTAGATTCCAGGGCCATGTAGAACAAGTATTTTGAATACACCATTTCAAAATTAATGCAACACTGTGAAACATGAACAGCTGGAAACTATAAGAGGAGATCGGGAGAGAAAAAATGCTGAGGCAGACTGGAAGTTATACAATTTTAAAAGGCCTTCATTAAAAAGTGCATGTCTTAATGAAGCTCCAGAAATGTGAAGTAGGTGCCAGGTGTAACTGATTTGGGAGGGCATTCCAATTCCTGGGGGCCACCACAAAGACAGCCCCTAATTATTATTATTATTATTATTATTATTATTATTATTATTATTATTACATTTTTATACTGCCCATAGCCAAAGCTCTCTAGGCAGTTGACAGCAATAGTCATAGAATCATACACTCAAGTCACCCATCCCACTTCTGCCCAGGCCTGACCCTGCTTAGCTTCCAAGATTAGGCAGGATCAGGCACTTCAGGCTACATGGAAGCTATACATGAAGCTAATACCACACTTCTGAGAGGGAAGGTACTTGGAGAGTGGCCAGAAGAGCTTCTGACCCAGGCAGGCTGATCTGGGAAGAGCGGCTTCCTCTGAGATCTTAGGTGCACGGCATGTGAATGGTCAGAGTCAACTTGGATATGTGCAACACTTTCATTCAGCGGATGTGAATTGGCCAGCAGCAGAATATATGAAGGAGAGGTGCTGGCCATGCACAGAAATCACCTATGTACATCCATGTGTCTGTGCATTTATCTAATGTATCTCTTGCACTGCACTCAGCCTCTCACCTCAATGATGTAATCTTTCCCATCCTTGCTGTGGACAGCTTTGACCGCACAAATGTCGAGGCCGCCAAACATCTCAGCAACAGAGTCTGCCCAGACCCGATACCTGCAGAGACCAGATGGGATTATCTGTATGGGATGTGATTAGAATATATCTGCCTTCCTGCCTCTTGAGATCTGAGGCGGACGTCCTTCTTCAGGAGCCCTCCTTGAAAGAGTGGTTACCCGGAGGAGGGCCTTCTCTGTGGTGGTGCCCCAATTGTGGACCACGCTCCCCAGGGAGGCCTGGTGCCAGTGTTTTTTTCTTTTCGGTGCCAGGTGAAACCCTTTTTATTTTCCCATTATTTTAATGTTGAATTGTTTTTAATGTGGTTTTATATTGTTGTATTATTGGATTCTGTGCCATTTTATTTCCTATTTTATTTGTTGCTTGTTGCAAACCATCCCAAGACACCAGTAGAAGGACAGTCTATAGAAGCTTTAAACAAATCGATCGACTGATCGATCAAATGGGCCTCCTGTTCAGGGCTGTCAGTATTCTTAACTGTCCTTCAATTGCATAGTTGCACCTTATGGCAATTTAACAGCGTTTGGAATAGTTTCATTATACAGCCTATTTGCTGACCTTCAAACATGTCCCCAGCATGGCCACAGCCAGAGTCCCTGTAGCTGGTGGCCACTTAGACCTTATCAAAGAAGAGGGTGGGGTTTGCACAAAATTTGCATTCACTAATCAATATGCATAGATGCACATTTAGAAATCATGACTATAACTGATAATAATGCAATGCATTTCATCAACATGGGGAAGACTGTGGAATGAGATCCAGGATAATTCGCCCACTGTTGATGGGCCCCTTCAAGGCCCCCACTGGTGCTTTCTTCTGAGGGTTCATTATTTTTAAAACACACTCAGGCTGGGCAGTGCTTTCAGGCAAGGTTGCCTTCAAATAGAAACCTGCCTTCTGTGAGGTGGGACACATGGCCGCCCCGCGACTGCAGAGGAGGCACACTATTCTGGGATCGCAGAGGAGCACAGCTGCTTCTTTCGGAAACCTGAGCAAACACAGCAGAGGGCGCAGAAATGCCTTTCCTTAAGACTGTTTGTTCAATGTTGCGTGCAGTTGTTGTTCATCTTCGGTGATAAATCAAAATGTCTTTTTCCAGTGAAGCACTTCTGTTTGGAGGTATCTTGTCCACCGTTCTTCCCCCAGCCATCCACCCTTCCTATTTTGCATGTCTGTGTCATCGAATGTCCATTAGAGAGTGCCTGTGAGATCATTCATAATGAGTAGTGCAACTTTGCCCCATACTCCTGTAGCATTTTCTGCCCTTTTAGGGCTATGTATGTTGATGCAAACTTAGATGCCCAGGCCAAATCTGGTTTAAAGGGATGAAGCTGCACAGTAAGAGCGAGCACCTGAGAGGGGACCGAGCAGATGCAGGTTGACTCATCCACCTTCCCGTCTGTGTTGAGACATATTGTGTTTCTTTTAAAAATGTAGATTTTATTTCCAAGTTTGCATCTATACAAATACAGTGCCATGTGGAACATTTCATGCAAGCATCTTATCCAAAGTCCCACTGGCTCTACAGGGTACACGGAGGGAGACATGGAGCAATTCTTTCTTTTGCAATGTTTTCCCCTGAACCAATTCCCCTCCCACCCATTCCAGTGGGAGGGAAAGCTGCTCTTCCAGCTTCAGGGCCCTTTCTGCAGCCTCACAGAGGAAGCCTGTGAGATTGGAGCTGCCTTGCCAGGGGTGAACCTTTCTTTCCTCCTTGTGAAGAAGTGACCTGAAAAATCATATGGCCCTTGAGGCCTTCTCCCAGGGACCATTGAATGGCAGACTTAATTTTAGTGGCAGGGAGAGGAGCTTGTGAGATTTTCTGCCACAGGTGCCGAAATAACAATGCAGCTTGATCTGGTGCGGGTTATGGGGGACAACATCTGCTGTTCTGCCCCAGGCAGCAAAGTATCTTGGGCTGGCCTTGCCTGGCTTCTTTTATATTTAGTTACTTCACCTGAGCCACAAGAGACACCTCAGACTGGAAGAGCACTGGGAAGGCTCAGAGGACTGAGAGGGTGACTTCTCTCTACCCCACAGCAAGCCAGTGGTATGCTGCATGTTTTTCCTAATTGCCCTCAAGGTGCTCTGTTACTGCCCCATCTGGACCCAGCAAGATGCATGGCAGGGGTGGCTTCGAAAACACCCCAGAACTCATGGATGGGGCCAGGTTTGGCTGTGCTTTCAAAGCCACCCACTGCTGTGCTACTCAGTCGGCCAGGATGACAAAGTGAATGACTTGTCATTGGGTAATTAGGACAAAGACACAGCATGCAAGTGGCACATGGGAGGCAAGGAGAAGATGCCGCTGTGGCTCCTCCCTGCACACGAGCACTCTGCGATCGTGTGAACCAGGCCAGTGTGCCTGATGAAGGGGACTCCTACAGTGATTCCTGGCCCACAGCTGGCTGACAGTGTCCTCATTGTCCCAGCTCAGTCTTCCTCGGATGAGGTGACAAAGTGCTTGGAGAAAGCAGAAAGGGAGGGGGCAGAAGTGGTGGTTTGAATACCGTTCTTGGCATGGAAGTTGTAAAGTTAGAATAAATTTGTGGGGGTGAGCTCATTCTTTCCCACACTGGGCTTGTATGAAGAAAAGGGGGCAGGAATGTGCCCTTGACATTGGGGATTAACCCCGTGAATCAAGTAGGTTATCCAGGCTAAGACAGTGCTCTGGGAGGCCTGCAGAAGCATGGCAGGGACTGCACAGAAACCACAGCAAAGGAATGGCTCTGCTCATGAAAGGCGGGGAAGGGGCGACTGGGTAGCAAGGATGGTGAAGCTTCCCGGGTGCAGAATCCAGGTAAGTGCACAAATGAAATAAGTTAAGATGCATTCGCTTGCAGGGGATCCCTGGTTTTCTTGATCTAGCTAGCTCAGTATTGCCTACATAAGCATTCCCAAAGTGGTGTCTTCTAGGTATTTTGGCATTCAACTTCCATCCGTCCTAAGCTAGTGTGGTCAATGGCCAGAATGCTGGGAGTTGTAGCCCAAAACATTTGGCAGGTATCAAGTCGAAAAGGCTGATCTACACTGACTGGTAGGTTTTCTCCAGAGTTTCAGCTCAAGGTCTCTTTTGGCTGGAGGAGGTATCAGGAATCGAACCCATAAAAAACAGTTACTCTACCTTGTGCTCTGTCACTCAGCTATTGTCCTTTCCATCAACTATTATGCAATAAATGTGACAATATACAATTATAATTGCAGTGATCAGATATGACTGTCTGTATGTACACTGAGCACTTTTTCTATGCCTAATGATTCTGTGTAGCTATCTTGCTAGTATTTGAGATAACTCTTAGAACAATCTGCTTTTGTATGTCCTCACTTCCTCTTTTGGTTTTAAGTCTTAGGATGGACAGAAGATAAAGCCCAACAGAGCTCTGGAAAAAGAAGCAGGTCAGTAAAATGGAAATGTAGTTACCTGAGCTGGAAAGCATCAGGTACAATGTTCTAGTTTTGTGCCTTTCAGGGAGGAACTTGCTGCTTGACATAGACAAGAATGCAAATTGCAAATGAAACCTCTGTGCTATTACAAAGTATTTGGGATAATAGTTAATGCAGGCCTAGGCCGAAGTGTAGTCAACTGACCAAAAGATTGCATTTTTGGCAGCTGTCCCTTCTATTCATTACCTCTCAGTCATAGCGATCTGCTCCAACATGGCAGAACCTGTATTTGCCTTCCAGTTTCCAGAGATCGATGTCCTCCTGGGAAAAACAAACAAGCTACATGAGAACAATCAATCCCCCCACCCCAAACATTGCGATTTCCTATCCTGAATTAAAGAAAGCCGGGTGGAAATTAGGAAAGCTGTAAAGAGATGTTGGCAGGGCGCGTTTTCTGAGCCCTGCTGTCCTCAGTACTCTTAGCCATTTCTGATGGCCCAGTCAATGCGTAAGTTCTTCTGCAAGCTGGGAACTTCCCTCTCTGCATGGCTGGCAACCTCCCACTTAGTTACATCTTTATCCAAATGCTGTCTGGGTATTCTTATATTGGCCTTGCGGACTGTCTTCTGGGTATGTCAGCCTTTGTACAGTAGAAATGTCTGTGAAAAGCCTGTGGAATAATTAACCCTGCACTCTGTAGTGTAGAATTTAAACTACACAGGAGGCCCCCTGCCAGAAAAGCCAAGAGAAAGCTTCCCACAGACATCAGTGGGCTTTAGAGCTAGTAGTAAAAGAGGGCGATGTAAGCAAAGCACTAAAGACGAGTGAAACACTGGCTTTCATTGAGTTCGCTTTCAATTGTGGAAATACAGCTCTCTCTGCCACCATGGAGTCAATGGCACTAAAAAGCCACCCACTGCTTTCTCCCAAGGACTCCTCAAGAGTTATTAAAGTGTACAAGTCTCCTTTCTCGTAACTAGCTGTTAATGTCTGTGCCTGCTGCTAGTGCTGCTGGCAAACAAGGACTTCTAAGCTTCACGTTTAGGAGAAGTGTTGTATCCACAAAGCCCGGCCAGCTGTATGCTCAAACACAATCATTGTCAGATCTCTCAGGCCCAGCTGAACTGTATCCGCACTGATATGCAAAACAAGGTGGCATGAGAACGGAGCTGGTGGCTGAAAAGGCTGGAGGATGCCAGCACTAATGTCCAGCACCTTTGTTCCAGTTTCTTCTCCTACCATGCATTTCCCCTGCATGCTGAGAGTTAAAGAAGCCAGGATGAAATGCACTTTGCTGGCTGGGTTTGCACAACGATACAACCCATCATGGGCAGCAGGCATGGTGTCATCCAGGCTTGGTTCTTTTTCCACAGGGTGGCTTAATTTCCACAAACAAGCTACCCTGAGAACCCGTGGCTGCTCCTTGGGTTGTTCCTATCCAGAGTGGTTTGTCATGTCATCTGTACCCAGAGGAGTCATTTTATTTTCGGGTTGCTGCGATCAGCTGCAGAGATGCTTGGCAACACGAGCAAAAAAGCTCAAGCTGCTTTTTGCCTTCTTGGCAGGGCCTGTCCTTCAACTGATGCCCAAATGGCATTTTTGGGGGGGATTGCCATGTTTTTCCTGGGTTTTAGTCATATGCAAATGTGCTGATAATTTTATTATAATTCTCCTCTTTGTTCTTTTGCAAGCGCACACTTGTGCCTGTCCAATATTTGTAGTCTTACCTGGTTGATTTCCTTTTATGTTTCAGTCATCAAAGGGAATTCCAAAATGGAGTAAGGACCTGACAAAATAAGGCTGCACATAGGCTGCTTTGCGCACAGTTGCAAAAGATGGGAGAGAAATTATAGTAAGAGAAAAAAGTAGCACAATTTAGAAGCACTGAAAATGGGGAAAAGTCTAACAGAGTAAGTGCAGCAAAGGGAGGTAACCATCTCACTTTTATTCTTTCTTTATTTTTGGTTTATGACATTAGTATAATGTTCTGCATCTAAACAGGTTTCATAGCAGTGTGCTCTCCTCTCCCTTTGCAGCTCCATATTGGAGCAGTTCCTGCACTTCAGGGCATGTATGTGATTTCAAAATAACCATAAGAAAGTGGCTACATGGGACAGAATACATGCTTTTCTATTTTATTTGGAAATCTTGTGAAATTATGTGACTGGTCAATGTTCTTTTTGCCCTTCTAATAGAAATATTTCCAGCTTCTTTTTCCACTAGGGGGCATTAACCAGTTTGGAAGAGTTTCCAAAATCAGCTTTCAAGGGACTTAAAAGTTTTCATCAACCAAGTTCTAAAAGTGATAAACAGCAACCCAGAACAACTTTTGGCTATAAGAAGATGAAAAAGGAAATCTTAAAGAAGAGGCACAGCTCCCTGACCTCCACTTAGTGCAATAAACATTACTACCCAAATCCTAGTAATCTCATTTCTCATACATGGCCCAATATTAATTTATTCACTTATTTGTCATATTTTTAAATGACCAAATAATCATTTTTGGTGGATTCACAGTAGAACTCACTGCTATGTCCAGCCTTCCTCAACCCAGTGCATTCCAGATGTTTTGGACCACAATTCCCAGCATTCCTTGCTGGCTGGAGCTGATGGAAGTTAATGTCCAAGCAACTAGAAACTATCAGATTGGGGGATCGTACTCCTCTGTTGGCTTGTCTACAACTTCAGAGAAGCCTTGCCTACCGTGGGCTCTTCCTTGCTACTTTACAGCCCCAGGCCCTCACTCCTGGCTTGGTTGCCTCAGGTGTGGGTCAGCCAGCATGGTACTAACAAGTGTGAGTCCTTGAACCCATGCCCTGTATAGTGTTGCACACAGCTGCCTACAACCACCCAGCAGCAATACCTGGAGCAGAATGCATTGCATAGAAACATTATTGCATATGGGAAATTTTTCTTTAGGATACATTGTGCTTCTTAAGATTTATGAGTGGGGAAGAGTGTGCTGTGTTTAGAACCACAGCTGTGGTGCTATTACTTTATTTATTTTACTGAAAAAGTGCCCTTGCTCCTTCCAACCCAGTCCTAAAGTCTACGGCAAACTCACATGTACGCTTTGTAATTGTTGCCGATTTTCTGGATTCGGATATCGTATTTGGAGTCAATGAAAGTCTCCGTCGTGACATATGTTTTGGCCATGGCTACCACACTGGCAATGTCTTGGAAGTCATGCTGGTTCTCAACTTTCACCTTTGAGCAACAAAAATCCAAGCAGAAAAAAATGGAGAAAATATATGTGTTAGAAGGTACGACACTTGTGTGTGAAACTAGCAAAATACCCATTGTCATGACAGGCATGATATATATTCCAGTGGTGCTCACCAGGAATTGAGCCCTGGAGGACTGCTTTGCAACCGGCATCCCTCTTCCACGTCACATGCAGCAGCCTTTGTTTGTACTGCTGCAGGTGACATGGAACAACCAGTTGCACAACCCTCATTCCACCAGCGTTTGCAGACTTCCTGTTGTCTCAGCTCGCTTTCTAAGTCTGGGCTGAACACCATAAAGGGACAGATTCTGTGCAGCTCTGTCACAACCCTACATAGACACACTGCCTCTGATAATCTCCTTTTAAAGCCTTCCAAACTGGCTATCATTGCATCTTGTGGAAGCGACTAGACAGATTTCTTACCCGTAACTAGTAGTTCAAGTGGCCACCTGTGTGTTCACATACATGGGCCCTGGGCCTGTATGGAGTCACCTCTGAGAAATCTCTATAGTTGAGGAAGTTTTGATGGGAACTCTCTCCCATTATCTTAATGGGCACAGCCCAACGGGTTCCTACCAGTTCCTTCAGTTCCACTGAGACATCTATTGCTGCCTTGGACATGAGATAAATTAAATCAGTGTTGCTTTCAATATAGGTAGAGACACAGGTGCCATAGTCTCACTTCAGTACCAACAGAAGAAACTTGATATTGACACTGAAGTGGGGATCTATCTCATTGCATAGATGACCACTTGAAGAACTACCAGGTAAATGACCTGTCCTCCTCCTTTGTGGTCTTGTAGTCTCATACTTATGGGTGCTTAACAAGCTGACTTACTACATTTGGGCTGGTAGTGTCATATCTGTACTGGCGATATAAAATGATGATAGGAAGAGAGAAAGATTGAACAAAACCTCAGCTGTTTGAATAGCAGGCCACCGAGGATGAGAGTAGCTTCCCTGAAGCAACCACAATGGAGGTAGAAGAACTGATGGGATCCTTTGAGGAAATGCAGGCTGAGATGTTGAGCAAGTTTCCCACACAAATTCATTAGTTATAGAAGTTTTCTGAAATATGTTCTGTATGGGTGCAAAAGCCCATATGTGTAAAGCACAGAAACCACAAAGAAGTATCCATAATTTAATTTGCACTTTACTTGTCCTGAATCTCTCACCAAGCAGCCTCATAGAATGACCCTGGGATCTTGTATCATCTTTTTCCACATTATGCATAATTTTCTCTCATGCCCCTCTTACTTGCCTTTTTTCTAAGCTTAAATGGTCCCAAATGTTTTAACATTTCCTCATAATGGAATTTCTCCAACTCCTTGATCATTTTTATGTCTTCTTATCATTTTCCTTCCTACTCTGATATCTTTCAGACTCGATGGACTCACCACTACCACCTTCTTAGATGGCTTCCCTGCATCCTTTCATGTACAAAGTGATGGAACAGAGGAAACTGATTCCATCACAGAGCCAAGTAACTAAGACAAAACTTGATGTGGGAAAAACTTAAATATATTGCTCTGTGACTGGGTGGAAAACCCAAACTGTATGGACCACATGCAGCCTTTGACCTGATTTCATGCCAAATCCTAGATGTTCTTATTTTATGATAGGCCCTTCACCCCAAAATATGGAAAATACCAGCTCTAGGTGAAGCACATTGCCAATGTTTCTCACTAGAGATGAGTGAAAATAAAGATCTCCTTAAGACTTACAGAAAAGGACTCCAGTGGCACGTTCATCCAAATCTATCATTTAGCATCAACATATAATAGTACCCGAATCATTACAGTTCACTCCATTTTTTTCTGGTATATATCGTAAATGTTTCCAGATCTCCACTTAAATTATACAGTTGACTGAAAACTTTTTAAAAATATATGTATGTTTATTACATCTTCAATTTTTGTATAGCTTTTATGGCGTCCATTTGTCCTTAACAGTGTATTAAGCATATGCTTAATCTGCAGATACTGAAATGCACCAGGTTAAAATGGTCTCATTTCTTACACAGCTCTACCTAAGGTTTTACTTTGTCATCACCAAAAATGTATGAACCTTCAGAGAACAAAGACACATTCTTCAGTAAGAATGTTTATTTATTTAACAATTATGAAGTTGTTTATAAAGATGGACATTGCTCAAATAATGAATGTTGCAAAATATGCTACAACAGGTGTGTACAGGAGATTTGACCATTCTTTAGATCAGTCTTTCTCAGCTAGGTACCCTCCAGATGCTTTGTACTACAGCTTTCATCATGCCCAGCCAGCCTGACGTAGGCTGGCTGGGTGTGATGGAAATTGTGGCCCAAGGTGTCTGGAGGGTACCCAGTTGGGAGACTAATCAAAGGGCTGAAATCTACACCATACAAAGCAACTCAACAAGCAAAGAGTCAAAACATCAAGACACCGGGCAGTCTGTGCTGACAGCAAATTCATCACTGGGTTCCACACTAGAAGATTAATATTTGGAGAACCAGCACAGGGCAAGATATGATAAACAAAGAGGACTTGGAAAAGCTCAGTGAGCTTTCAGAAGGCATGGGCATCTGGTAGGTGCAGGTTCCAGGTCGTGGTGGTTTTCCTGGAAATGAAACAGCTGATTGACTAGCAAAAAATGACTTTAGGAACCCCTTTTCACCAAATGGCCCAGTTAGGACTGAGAATGTTCTCTGGCTATGGGAGAATAATTATCTGTTGGAGGGGAGGCAAAAGAAAGCTACAAGAAGAGGGGCAATGGGATAAGATGGGGTGGTTGAAAAATCTGTATGGGGGTACTTTGCAGTGCAACATTTTGTTGTAACTCCTACTTGATTTTCAGACTCTAATGCTCCCCAGTGTTTGAAGTCAGCCATATAGACAAAGTCATAGGAGAGCAAAGATTTGTGATTTTAAGAGAGAATGATTTCCCTCGTCTACAAGCCAGGCCACTGCAAGCATCCAGTTGAAAGTTTGTTCTTCTGCCTTATCCGTTTAGCCAGTTATTTTCTGGGATAGACAGATGGTTGTTGTGGAAACCAAGAGGTCCAAAGTTAGGATGAGTCAGTCTTAATTTTGCAAAATGAAGATCAGCAGAATGTTGAGAACAATAACTCTCTTGTGAACCTAATTATTATCTGCCCTGCTGCCACGCCTATAATTCAAGCTCAACAGTTGCCTGCTAGTCCTTGTTTTAAGGGGCATCTCAGAACCCAGATCCTTGCAGAACTGCACCTCCCCTCCTCTAGTCTCGCTCTGTGGGGTCTTCTACTCCACTGTGTGCCTCTTTGAACATGCTAAGCTGGTGGGAATTGCTACTAGCTGATAGTGTAGCGACTCCATGGAAACCGAATGACAAGCAATAATCGTATTGGTGTCAATGGAGGGACAGATAGCTGCAGAGACAGGGTGCTTTGTTGTTTTCAGTTGTCACAGATGCCTTTTCCTATTTATATCAGGCCCAAGGAAGATGCATACACTCCATGAGGCATGGCACAAGCTCTTTTGTTCCCAAGCCACCCTTTCTGCCACCACGTAACCTTCCCCCTCTCCCCGCCACCATGAGCAATTCCTGCCACCTTTCCTCTGCTACCACGAGGGCTCTCTCTGGGCTGGGGCTATGGAGAGGGCTGGGATCTTGGTGGCTCCAGGCTCTTGACAGATCTCAGCAGATGGCCAAGATATTATGAGATGTTAAGTGTGTGCTGAGTTCTCAAGAGAGCCCCGGAGCCCAGCAGTAACAGAGAACTTGCCAGCTGCTGCAAATGCCACTACAGGAACTTGGTGTGTGGGGTTCCCTACAACACCCACAGGAGTGTGGAGGGGGGGGGGGGACTCAGGGAGTGGTGCAGTCATTGCTTTTCCAGCTCTGCTGCCTCTTGTGGGTGCCTCACCCTCCTTCTTGGGGGGCTGGCCCTGAACTTCAGAGAAACCATAAATCTCATGGCATTTTGGCAGACTGCCTATATAGAAGCTTACAATTAAAGTTCTGCATATGTTACCCAAGGCACAGGCAAGAAGGGAAACAGGCAGTCAGAACTGATAAGGAAAAAGAAAGGAGCAAAGCACAAAGTGGATGTCACTTTTTGCATTTATCATGTTCGGAATCAATCCTCTCTCCACAGAGCTAATAGGGCAAGGAATGGTTAGGTAAACTGTGGATGGTTTAAGCTATTCAGAGAGGCTACAGAATGTGCACTGCAGCCGATTGGGGGTGAATTAACCCACAATTTGTTATCAGAACAGACTCATTGTATCTTCACAACAATCCCGTGAAGCAATTGCCCAAAACTAACCAAACTAACTTCATGGCTGAGCAAGGATTTGAACCCAGCAGCTCCCCCAGACCATACAGTTTGGCATCTTGAATATGGATTAGAATATAGGCAAGCCACAGGAAGTTCCATTTCTACCCAGAGGTAGCAAGTATTGGAGGGAATGAGTCAATGCAGTGTAACATTTTCTTTTAAACACTTGGGCACCCAAAATGGAATAGCAGCCTTGGCATCTAGAAAGAGACTGTCATCAGAGTCCATCCACACTGGGCTGGGGGAAACGAAAGTCTCTCAGTCATGGGATATCTCTGGCCAATAGGTGGATTTGCTGGTATTTGTTTAGAAAGTTGTGAGTGTACCTTGATGGGGGCCTGGGTTTGGGTGCAGGAAAGTTTCTGTGGATCTGAGTTGCATTCTGATCAGGTGCTTCCTTGATGCTAATGTCCACTATTCCTCATTCTTTGCCACTTTCTTTTGAGAGAAAGGTTCCCTGGAAGGATTTGACTTGCTACTTTACTGAAGCTTCTTCCAATTTCATTGCAGGAGAGAAAATACGTGCTTTACATGCTCTTCTTTGCTTGAGTATGCATTTTCTTAGCCTTTTCTATATATTAAATAACCACAAAGTAGTGCTTGGTGTAACTACAGTATAACAGAGCTGCAATTTCTCATAAGAAACATAAACATAAACATTCAGTTCCAGTTCGACTATTTAGG